TCTTCACCTAAATATTGTGCTAAATCTGGCTGGGTCATTCATCATGCCTGGATTTATCTTTTCTTTAAAAAAAAATTTAAGCTAAATACTGATTTAAAAAATGACTTCAAGTTAAATGTGGTAAAATTAAAAAAGTACTGTGCTCCCTTCCAAAATGCTCCTAAAATTAGAATAAAGGAGGGACAAAAACACCCCAAAATCAAAGGGACAAAGAGAATAGGAAATAAGACCTTAGAAGCTCACATTTTGAAGGCTGCAAAGTGAAAAGAAGGCACTAAAAATTAGTGAGGAAATTGTGGAATATTAATATATGGTGTTGGGGCAATTGGGTCTTCTTATGGGAAAGAGAAAATAGAACTCCCGTTTCAAACTAAGCATATAAAATCAATTCTCAGGTGAATTCTAGAACAAATACGAAAAGAAAAGCTGTGGAACTTTTTAGAAATATAGGAGAATTTTTTCATGATTATGAGGTCAGAAAAGTGTTTTTGACATAAAAACCCTAATCAAAAAGGCAAAGATTGATAAAAGACACCTGTAACACCTATAATCAAAAGACAGGTAAACAGATTATATAAAGAAATCCTACAAATCAGTAAGAAAACAACAAACAACCATTGACATAAAAAAAGGCAAATGTACTTTAACAGGAACTCACGAAGAGGAAATACAAATGTCTAAACATATGAAAAGGCACTCTATCTCAGCAGAAATTAGGGAAATGCAAAATTGAAACTACAATGGATTCCCAGCATATTTTCAAAAATTAAAAATTTGAACATTTAAAGTTTGAACCAAGTGTTAGAAGAGTAGTACAACTATTGAAATTCTTACACACTGCTAGTGGAAGTGCCTTTGAATACAAACACTTGGAAAACCTGGCACAGTCTAGTGAAATTGTATCCCCGTGACTTAGCAATTCCAATCCTAGGCACACGACCTGGAGATGTCCACACATATGTGCACAGGATACATATACAACAGAGCAGAATGGACTGAATGTGGTTATGTACAACCCTGGTATACTACACAGCAATGAAACCAAATAAACCACTGTTAACACTTAACATAGGTAAAGAGTACAAATCTCAAATCTCACAAACACCACCAAGTGCGAGAAGACATAAAATGATACAGAAATAGAAATCAGACTGTCATGTAAAGTTCAAAAATAGGCAAAACTAATAGTACATTTTATGTATCCACATAGGTGTAGTGAAACTACAAAGGAGAGCAAAGAAATGATTATCACAAAAATCAAAATAGGTTATGATAGGAGAAAACGCAGGAAGTTTCTGAAGTATGACAATATTGTTAGTTTTGATCTATGGGGTAGATACCATGGTGTCAGCTTTAATTGTTCATTAAACTATACAGATGTGTTTTATGTACTTTATGTATGTATATTTTACAATAAAAAGTTTTAATGTTCTATTCCCCTTTTTTCCTTTTATTTGTTTATGAGAGTACAAATGGCCCGAAGTAACTTACCACTAGTTTCTCAAGGAGGCCTTGGAATATCATCATTCTTAGATAATGAGACTACTGAAATGTTCAAAGCACCTAACTAGTTGATCTTAAACTGGGAGATGAATAAGACACTACCTGTCAGCAGTTTATGGGGCTATTTAAAAGAAGGAGAAATAGAATAGACATTTAATTCATTTTAAAGCATGACTAAATCAAAGAAACTTGAAGACTTTATTGTGCTGATTTCTGAAAGTTGTGTACTAAAGAGTTGGACATACTGAACTAGCTAGAATCCCCGTGAGTAGTGATTCTTCTTTTTAATGACTACTGCAAAATATATGAACACAGGCACACCTCTGAAAAAAAATTAACCGAACATGTGTGTGGGTACATTTTATATATGGATGGAGACGGGAGTTGTAACTAAGAAGATTGGTGGAAAGTTGGTACAAGGAGCAATTAGACTCCCACTGTCCCATCCCACATCCTGCCTAAACTTCACCCACCAGGCAATGCTCCCTATTTGAACCAGAGAGATGTTAGGATGTTAACTTTCTGAGGACGTTTACATAGCAAAGGAGGGGGTATAGCTTAGTGGTGGAGCATTTGACTGCAAAGGAGAGAGATGGGATATATTGAAAAGAGTCTGCCATGAGATCACGCCAAGCCCCTTTCACGACATGACTCTCTGAATAACAATGGCCAGGTTTCTCTCTCTCTTCCCCTAAACCCCAGGCCAAATGCGCTGAGGTCCTCCTCTTTCAGGTAACTGAGCATATCAGTAGGAAAAAAAAAAATACTGTAGACTAACATTCTGGGGTCCCCCTAAAAACATTATTGTTACCCTACAGTGAAACCCACTGCCAAAATAAGCTGCACAGGCAAAGAGAGCTTCCAATCACTGTTCCTTGTTCCTTGCTAAATAAATAAGAGACAGCCAGGGATGACTAGACACCTAAGGAAACCATCTAAAGTAAAAAGCAGAGAACAAGGAAAGAGAACAAGGAAAGAGAAAAGGAAGAGGAGGTGGCCCAGAAAGGAGGAGGAGAGGAGGAGAAAGAGGGTGAAGAAAAAAGGAAAAAGGAGAGGAGGAGAAGGAAGCAGATACGGAGACTAACAGGAGAAAAGGAAGAGGAGGGAAGAAACAAAGAGCAAAAAACTTTAAAGACAATAATATTCTCATAGAGATAGAATGTTGCATATATGACACAAAAATACACTCTGAGTGAAAATAAAGGGGCTTTTGCAATTAAAAATAGGCAAAATTTAACAAAGTTTACACAAGGGCTAGAAGACAATGTTGAGAAAATCTTGGAAATTTCTCAAGAAGGAAAAAGACAAAAGCAGTGAAGAAAAGGTGGAAAAACAAGAAAATTGAAGGATCAATTCAAGAGGTCCAATGTCCAATTAACAGGGGTTCCAGATAAAAAGAACAGCAAAAACAATAGGGAGGAAATTACTTAAGAGATGATGCAAAAGAATTTCTCGGAAATAAAGGACATGCGAGTTAAACCCTCTTCATCCAAATATTAATTCCACAAATAAAGACTAAGACTAGGGAAAAAACTCAAGAAATAAAAAGCATTAGTGTGTTACTTAAAACATTGAAGAGAATTTAATGTACCCAAAACTTAAGCCCGGTGGAGTTGAAATCAGCAGGGGAGAGATGGGACAAGAGACTTAACTTTTCCTGTTAGAAGCCTTGTAGAAATATTTGTCTTTTCAAACCATGCAGACATATTGAACACAATTAAAAATTAAATTAAAAAACTCAAAATGATGAGCTGAGAATTCTTAACAGTAGAGCTAAAGAAATCTGTCAAGTTGAGAAAAGACCAACTTTATCAATTTTTTAATTTTATGCATTAGCAATATACATGGCATATATAATTCTACCTTTGAGCACCAGTGATATTATTAGTTCATGTGGTTTATCTAAAGCATGGGTTACTAGAGCTATTTTAAAATAAATGGTTGAGAAGAATACTTTATATGGTTCTAAATCTGTATGACTTACTAGGAATGCTCTCTAGTTTCCTAGAGTAACATAACTCACAGGAATCCCGTTTCTCTTTGAAACATTTGCTAAATAACAAGGTTGACTGGGGAAAGACAGGCCAAAGTCTAGAGTAATCCAGATGTGTGGAAACTAATTTCCCTGCAGTTTTTTTTTCTTTTCCTTAAGAAAAGCACATGGTGTCTTAGCTCAGACTGCTATAAGAAAATACAGGGTGAGTGAGTATCCCTTATTTGAAATGCTTGGAACCAGAAGTGTTTTGGATTTCAGATTCTGGAATATTTGCATTGTACATACAGGTTGAACATACCTAATCTGAAAATATGAAATCTGAAAAATGTTCCAGTGAGCATTTTCTTTGAGTATAATGCTTATGCTCAAAAAAGTTTCGTATTTTGAAGCATTTGGGATTTTAAAGGGTTTTGGATTAGGGATGCTCAACCACTAAGTATGATGCAAATATGCCAAAATCCAAAACACTGTGGTCCTAAGCATTTTGGATAAGGGATACTCAACCCTTACCATAAACTGGATGACTTTAACAATAGAAATTTATTTTCTCACAGTTCTGGAGGCTGGAAGTTCCAACAGGGTACCAGCATGGTTGAGTTCTGGTAAGAGCCTTCTTCCTGGCTTGCAGAGGCTGCCTTCTTGCTGTGTCCGCACATATCCTAGAGAGAGCAAGCTCTCTGGTGTCTCTTCTCATAAGGATGCTAATGCCATCCTGAGGGGCCCCACCCTCATGACCTCATCTAACCCTAATTACCACCCAAAGGTCCAACCTAACCTCCAAATGCCAATCGCATTGTGGGTTAGGGCTTCAACATATGAATTGTGGAGGACACATTCAGGCCATAACACATGGGAAAAAAAGCAAAACTTGGATATTAATGCCTGCCATCTGCCCGTAATAGGCAGATTTCTAAGATGACCCAAGCCTTTGTTTAGTCCCTCCCCTTAGTGAAGGCAGGACCTGTAAATATGAGACATCACTCCCATGATTATGTTATGGTACGTAATGTGGCAAAAGCAAAAAGATTTTGCAGATGCAATTAAGGACTCTGAGTTAATCAAAAAGGAGATTATCCTGGATAGGCCTGAACTTATCAGGTGAGCTCTTTAGAAGAACTGGGGCCATCCCAAAGGTCGGAGATGCTCTTGCTGGCCTTGAAGAAGCAAGCAATCACAAGTTTTACAGCTGCAAGGAAATGAATTTTTCCAACAACCAAATGAACTTGGAAGAGGACCCTGAGCTTCAGATGAGGCTTTGACCTTGACTGCAGTCTTGTGAGACCCTGAGCAGACCCATAAAAAGCCATACCTGGACTCCTGACCCATGGAAATAGTGAGATAATAAATATAAAAATGTATGAGATTTTAAGCTGTTCAGTTTGTGACAATTTGTCACACGGCACAGAAAACCGATATGCTGCTATACTAAGTGTATCTAAAGGACAGTGCCTAAATATAACTCAGATAGATGGGAAAAGTTAACTATAGCTCTTTAATATATCTAAATAATCACAATTTTATATTCCAAACTAATTCTGTTTGCTGCTTTAAAAGATAGAGTACCAAATCACTGTCAAATTCTTGCCATCCTCTATAATCATTAGCTAGCATCTCATCATCTGCTCTATGCTTTTTTGTAATTATTTTTCATGTTTAGCTTACCCAACTCTTTCTACCAAGGACATAGAATACGACAAAGCCAGTCATTTAAATCTACAGCTATTATATCCTAAATATTTCTTCATAGTCAGGTTTGCTGGGAATAATAGGAAGGGACAGGAAAGGATGAAGGCAAAGCTATCATGCAATAACTTTCTCCACCGTTCTATTCAAAACATAAAATAGAATTCGGCAACCTCATTGAAAATAATAACTCAATTCCAAGTACCTTTCCAAACAATAAAACAATGGCTTCTTCCAAGATGGCCCTAATGATCCACACCTACTGGTATCCATGCTCTTTGTGAAATCCTCTCCCCTTAACTGTGTGCTGGATTTATTGACTCACTTCCAATGAACAGGATACAGTCAAGCAATGGGTTGTCACTTCAAAGATTACTTTTATAAAAAAGACTGTGACCTTCATTGTGGGCACTCTCTCTTGGACCCCTATTCACGTTGGGCAATGGCAGGCAGCTGCCATATTGTAAAACAGCATTGTGGAGATGCCCATGTGGCAAAGACCCAAGGCCTGCCAATGACCACTTGAGTAAGCCTGGAAAGGGAACCCTCATCCCCCACCCAAGTGGAACCTTCAGCTGAAGCCATAGCTAACAGTTTGCAACCTCATGAGACTTTCTTGAACTAGAGGCACCTAGCTAAGTCACATCCAGATTCCTGACTCACAGAAACTGTGAGGTAATAAATACTTGCTGTTTTAAACTACGAGGTTTTTGGGTAATTTGTTATACAGCTATGGGCTAATAATACCCTACCACCAAATGTAAGCTAAAAACATTAAATGCTTTAAGGCAACAGTACAAAAAAAGTTCAAAAAGATAAAAGCTCCAACCTTAAGCACTCTTCCTGAAAGACCAATAATTTCACCATCTTTTGGCTCAACTTCTGTAGCAGTATTCACATCGCCACTTCCTGTTGTATCAATGATATCAATGATTTTTGGTTTTCCATCAGGTGTAACCTGAAAATTGAGACAATTAAAATATGAATTACAGATTTTAGGTTTTTATCCTTAAAGAAAGCAATGTAAACTCATATATGAATGTGTGTGTATAAAATTTCCAACAAAATCTGCATTCATTTAAAAAAGAGAATTGAATTCTTTTAAGCCAAAGCCTGACAAATACTAATAAGAAAATTTAGTCCTGGAAACACCACAGGATCCTTCAAGTGGTTTCATACATTCACTTAAACATTCACTGAGCATTTACTATAGGCCACACCCTATTTTAGGTACTGGGGATACAGCAGTGATCAACACACAAAAATCCCTGACCTCACAGATGTTATATTGCAGCAAGGAAGAAGTCAATAAACAAGTAAGTAAAATAAAGAACATGTAAGATGGTGATACTATGGAGAAAGATTAAGCAAGGAAGGGAGATAGGTGTTGTGGAGCTTTCAATTTTACTTGGCAGGTCAAGGAAAGCCTCGCTGAGAAGATAACATTTGAGAAAAGATCTAAAGAAGGTGAGCTTTGGGCTGCGAAAGTACAAAACTTTAAGGTAAAAAATGTTTAGTAACTTTTAATGGCTTTGTTACAAGATGCCACACTAGTACCTTAAATGCAACAAGTCTGAAGTTCAGACTTAACATGACCTTCAAAAATCCATTTTTTCTCCAGGCTTTGCCATCTCAGGAATCACACCCAGTTGCTCAAGCCAGAAACTTAAAAATCCTCCTCTGATTCTTTACTCCAGTTTACACCTCACATCAAAGCTATCAGGAAGTCCTGTTAATTATTTCTCTAAAACATAGTTAAAATCCATCTTCCCCTCTAATTTTCAATACTGCTATTCTCACTTTTCAAACCATCATCAACTCTTGCCTTCATTATGTGCATCACCTCCTTAGAGGTCTCTCAGCTTCCATCGTTTGCCCCAACCAAAATCAATGCAGTCTGAATATCCCTATTCAAAAAATCTGAAATGCTCCAAAATCTTTTTTAGAGCAAACAGGACACTCAAAGGACACGTTTATCAGAACATTTCAGATTTTTGACATTTAACCTGTATTAAAACAAGCCATATTGTATCAGTCCTCCCCTTTAAACCCATCGACGGATTCATGAAGCACTCAGAATACTCTGTATAAAAAGCCCTGCACTCTCTGACCCTTGCCACCCCAGTCACTCACGACTCTAACCACACTGACTTCCTTTCAATTCCTGAAACATGACAAACTGTTTCCTGCCTCGTGACTTTCTAAGCAGGGTTCTTCTGCCTAGAATCCCCTACCCCTTCAACTGTTTTGCAGGATTCCACCTTATCTTTCGGTTTTCCATTAGTGTCACCCCTTCCTAATGACTTCAAGAGTTTGCCATCCTAAACTTGAGTATTCTTTCTCACTGTACCTTGTTTCTTTCACAGCACATAATTCAATTTCTAACTATACAGTTAAGTGATTCTTTATCTACTTCCTCTATTAGAATATAAAGCTCTATAAGGGCAAGTACCATGTCTATTTTATTCACCAACATATGCCCAATATCTAGCAGTGCTTGTTAGGCACTCAAATATTTATTTAATTATTGAATGATCTGACATTAATCACTTAGCATTAAGATAGAATGATTTTTATGAGGTATGGTTTCTTGTCAGCCCACAAATTTCCATTTGAGTCATAAGACTGTTACAGTCTGTTACTGTTACTGGTAACAGTAATACTATATTGTCATACTGTTTTTGTGGGAAAAAAAAATCATTTCTAGGCTCTTTCTGGGCTAGCTTTGCAAAAGGAATTTGTTGCATTCAAGATGTATGCACCGAGTTACAAGCAGTAATCAGACATACAGAGAGAGAATGAAAAAAGATGACACCAGCCCTCAATAAAAAAACAGGAACATAAAAAATGTCAACAGTGCGACAGAGCACAGTCTTCAGACTCCTATTCCTCCTGGAGAATTCCTAATCTTTAAGACAAAGCTTAATGTCCATTTCTGTGAGTCTTTATGACCAACATGCAATCCTCTCCAACACCAAGTATTTCCTCTGCAGTATCCTCAAGCTTTGGAATTAAGGGTATACCCTATAGAAGGAAACGTGAAGGAAACAAAGGGCACACATTTTTTTCTTTACAAGACAAAGCAAGGGAGTAGCTAGGTAGTGGACCCCAAATCTCACTTCAATTATGTTGCCATAGAAAAACTGAGGGCCTAATAGCTTGAAGTGTCATAAAGGCCTCCCAGGTACAGCTGTTACCTTTATGTATGGTAATTCTTAAGTTGGATGTTTACTGCTTTGGGAGCTGTCTACACCAGTAACAAATGAAAATTCTAATACTCAGAAGGCTGGAAGTCACAATTTTTTAAAACAATCACTGTGGAAATCATACTAAACCATGATAAAATTATGATAAAACTTAAATCAGATAATGATTTTGAAGAGATGGGCTATGTATCTCAAAAAATAAATTAAAGAAAAATGTAAGAAAAAAAATCTACCAAAATAAAAATGGAAACAATTAAGAGGAATA